TCACAAAAGTCTCTTTGGTTGCCCTGGAGGATGAGCAGAGACCGTGTGACCCTGCCATTTCTTCCAAGCCTTTCCCCCAGGCCTGGGATAGCTAGCTGGGAGAGGTCTTGCATGGCCTTTCTGTGGTAACCCCAGCAAGTCGAGTCTGCTTCTTAATTGAGCGTTGGCTGCAGAAAGTGGTGACTGGTGTGTGTTTGTGGAGGAGAGGAGTGCTGTACTCTGGGGCTTTGGGCAACGTTTTCTGCTATGAAATTGACAATTTTAGCAATTTGCCTCAGTCTCTACCCTGCAATTGCATATTCTTAGTGGTTTGCCATGAAATCTGTGCCTCTTTCCCGAAACTCATCACTGCTCTGCCTAGAAATGTGCCTATGTTTGCCTTGGAGTTTGGATACCTTCACCAGTCCTCCACAGGTGCCGGTAATTCACGTGCATCTCTGCCAGGAGGAGGGAAATGACAAGCATGGTGGAGGGGGAGCCCAAGTGCTGGAGAAGGATCTTGGGGTGGCTGTGCTTAGTCTGGGAACAGCCAAAGAGCTAGCAGGGTGTTGCCGGCAAGGGGAAGCTTGTTGGAGGGGGTGGCTGAAGCGGGCAAGGACGTTGGCAAGAGGGGAACGCCAGTGCTGCTGTTCTGGGTCATCAAATCACCTCCGACTTGTGGTGGCTATGAATGAAGGACCCCCACAATGTCCTGTCCAGGACAGCCCTGCTCAGCTCTTGTAAATGCAAGGCTGTGGCTTCCTTGACGGAGCCCGTCCATCTCTTTCCTGGTCTTCCTTTGCTTGCCCCAGGTTATCGTTCGTGTAGCTGGAAGCGGCAGCAATCGTTTCTTTCACTCACTGTATCATGGAAAGCACTGTTGATCCATGTTTTCCACCTGCCTTTTAACCCTGCCTTTTTGTAAATAAATAAATAAGCACCATTTCAAATGTATTTAGAGATTCCCTCCTCAACCTTGATTCCCTTGTCCATTTTTAGAGATTCCCTCCTCAACCTTGATTGTACTTATGCCATCTGGATTTATAAAGATCGAAGGTGCTCCTGGTCTAGCCAGGGGAATATGGTGACTCTCAGGATGGGTTGTTTACTACTGACTGGATTTGCACGTCATGTTAACGTATGTATTTAGCCCATGGTTTGTTGACCCACCTTGTGTTTTCCTAGGAGACGACCACACAGACTGCGGCTCGCTTTCTCTCTCCCAGGACTGGTCGCTCCTCTCTTCTTTTGCCACTCGCTCCCAGTATCCCAGATACTTTTGTTGTTTTCATTTTCTTTTTTACCACTCTATATACTCTGTAGCTTGGCGAAGAATCCATGGTTCAAACCTACCCAGAATTCACAGTTCAACAACAATCCATGGGTTCTCTTTCTGGGTTTTTTGTGGCTAGCAAACCATGGGTTGTTAGCATGGTGGGTTTTGCAAAATACAACAACCCAGAAACCAACATACCATGGTTTATTGTGATGTGCAAATCCAGATTGTACAGTTTTGTCAAACGTGTGCATTTTAAGAACGGGATGTCTTGTAAGCAGGCATTCTCTCCCCGCCTCCCCCAGGAAGCCTGCCCACCCATCTGGTAATGATCAGAAATATGGAGAGGATGACTATAGGAACTAGAGAGTTCTCTCTGCTTTTGTGATCTTGGAATAGCACTTCCATGCCCTTAGAGGAGTTGATGGTGAACATTTGTCCCATAAGAGAACCTGGGACAACCGCAGTCCCTCTTCAATACTTCTGCAGAATTCAGTGGAGGCAAAGGCCTTCCTCTAAATTCCACAAAAGAGAAGGATCTGCAAATCAGGAAAACTCTTGGGAAAGAGGGGGGGAAAGTTGTCTGGAATGAGAGACAGATGCTGAGTTTTCCTGACTCACCTTTCTGCATCAAAGAAACAGGAGCTGCATGCAAGAAAAGGGCCACCTATGGAGGGATTCGGTGTGGGGAGAAACACTACTGCCTTTTGCCCAAATGCTATGGCCTTCCGGCTTCCCTAGAGCAGTTTCAGTTTATGAACAGTTATGTGCGAATGGGAATAAGTGAGACAAATACTGCAAAGTAAAAATACACTTGCAAAATACTAGGATTCTCTACTCGTACCAATATATTTTACAAACACGTATTGCATAAACAGCATTGCTTGAATGTTTGTGGGCAAGTTACAATTAAAAATATTGACACAAACTTTCTGTATAGATTTCAGAGGGTTCAAATTGATGTAAAAGAATCACCATAAAACTACAAGGCTAATGGTCCAACCTTTTGCAATACATTTTAACTAGGACTGCTAGCTGGTTAGAATTACTTTTAATCATCTGGCTTCAAAACAATTAATACACTGAATTTAAATAAATTTACATTTTATGTCAAAGAGGTGATTTTTGAGCTATTGAGGGTAGTGTACAGTATCTTAAGATTTGATTAACAGATGCTCATTGTTAGAAGGAAAATCCATTTTTAATATCTCCATGTTCATTTGCTATTACAATAAACCAGAACTAAATGTGACTCCAAATATAAAAACGGCTGTGATTATATCATTGTTGATTAATCTAGCAATTAACCCTGTCATCCTAATTTTAAGTTTCCTTTCTGCAAGCAAAATTCTGCTTTAGGTTGCCCTGCTGGAATATCTTTGCCATCATTAGCAAGCAGCATTTCAGCAACCCGGAGACAAGGCGTTCTTCAAAGCCATTTCATATTTTCTTCCATAATTATTTCCTGCACGTAAACAAAGTAAAACTGCTTCAAGAACCAGATGAGCTGCTCCTATAATTATACATTTCACCTTGAGACATTTTAACTCGAGATGAGCTGAAGTGCAGCTTCTCTTTCCATGTCCAAGTTTCACCTGGAAGGTGTAAACTTCTCTCCCTTTAATTGCAACCATAGAACAGTAAAGAATTTTTCAAAAATATTTCGGAGGGTAACAGGCTTTGGCATTTCTTCAAGTGGTTATACACTGCAGCACAAATACAGTGCAAGATTTCCATCATTTATTGAATCTAAACAAGTAGCTTTTCGTTACCCTTAAATGTGGTTATTTAAGGGAAGGAAGTAAAATGTAACCATGTAAAGACGGCAACAGCCCGCAAACTGGGAAAGGCTTCCAATACCAAAGAGGATGAGTTATGTCCAAGTGCACATACCCAGCGGCTTCTTTTGGCCCAGTGGCAACTCGGGAGTTGAGTTTGCGTCACCTTCTCTGCATGTGATCCTCCCATATTTTTCCCGAAAGTGAAACACGGGGCTGATATAGATATGCTGGATAGCTTTACTTTGACTCCCTTCTAATCAACTCCTTTTACAGTCGTATGCATGCTGACAGTTTGAATGGGGGGATTACTTCCACGTGTATGTGATGGTGGAAACGGCTGATTTCCAGTCATCTGCCCCATGTCTAGATGAGAGGATCATTGGAACCCGGGTGCTGTGGGCACAGACCAGCTACAAATACACACCCCGTCCAGTGCAGCACATGTACCTTCTGTTTTGTGACGGCAGTGGAAATACCCGTCCTCGTCTGCACAGAGTCCTTTGAGGCATGCAGGTGATGCGCAAGTCCACAATGAACACTGCCTTGCTCAGGGTGATTGTAGTAGGATTTTGGAAGTAATTTTATTAAAACAATAACTTAAAAACCAAGACTCTGCTAGTACCTTCTTTCCTCTACAATTCTATTGCCCATACCAAACTCTAACATAGAGAATATCAAGGCATGAATTCACATGCTCCCTTTGTGGAGGACCTTGTGAGATTCAGAAAATCTATTTTATGAGATGGCGTTTGCATCACAGTGCCTGAAAGCCCAACGGGGGCAGGGTGCTAATGCGAATTTGACTGACAGTCAGACCAAGAAGGCTGTATTTTCTCTGGATATTGATGTGGTTGCAGAGCAAAGCTCAGTGGGGAAACGCACAGTGGACCGAAACAATGCTGAACGAAGATGCGTGGAGACCAAATGACTTTCCAGCACCAGCCAGCTACTGGAGTTGCTCAAGTCCTTCAGAAACGCTAGACCTCATGGTTATCCAGACTGCAGAGGAATTCTGGGCCCAGGCCTGGGGCAACATCAATGGGCTTGCTGAGGGAAGTGGAGGATGATGTGAGCTACTCCCTCCGCACAATTTCCATAGTGACACATTTTCCAAACACTTGAGGTACTTGTAAGAACCTTGTGAAAATGCTTATCATCTTGGCCCTCTGATTAGATTGTAAAGAGCTTGTTTCCGGTACGTGCAGCCAACAATAAGTGGGATGGTGTGTCCTACAGACCAAGGTGAACAGGGGCAGCTTCTGTGCTCCAGGAATTCTGCACCCAGAACAACGGAGTTCAGCAACCTGTGTGAATTGTGGAACCAGGGTAAATTTGCAACAGGTCCATGGCAAGGAGTCTGGAAGTCTGCATGAAATTGAGGCCAAACCCCCATCTCAGACCAATGGAGATCTCAGTCAACTATGTATCTGAGTACGGAGATTTTATTAGGCATTGCCTGCAGGTCTCCAAACTTGGCTTTTTGGCTGTAACAACTAGAAACTTGCTCCTTAAAAAAGACGACGATAACAGCATGCACCAGCCCTGCAAACAAGCTGTGGGTTCGCTTTTTGATTATGATCCATTTCTGGGTAACTGTTAATAGCACCATCCTCTTAAGTGGACCAAATAAAACTGCACCCCAGAGGGAAAAGGGTTAAAACTGAACTGTGTACACATTCCTCAGTCTCGGATCAAGCAAAGTGCGGGGCTCAGGGGAGCTTTTGTTCCGAACGCTGCTCTCTCGCTTTGCTCCTAGCTGGACCGGCCTTGCACCCAGGAGCACGTGGTTTCCAAGCTCAGCCCCTCTCGTGCCACACAGTGCCCTTGCCAAAGAACCTTCCGCTCCTCTCTTGCCGGGTGTGAGTTTCAAAATGGCTGCTGCAATGCCAGGGGGTTTCCTGTCAACACCTCCGGGGCCCCCGTGGTGAAATGGAGTGCTCCACAAATTCACGGGCATCCTGGCCTTACTGAGATGCCACGACCTGCTGAAGGGCCCCGTTGTGCTGCAAGCTGTTCATTGGAAGAGGAGGGGGTGGTGGGGGTGGCGGCGGGGGCGGCGGCGGCGGGAACAGGGGGCCAGCCATTTCTGAATGAGTCTGTGGGTCTGGGATGGGGATGGGGCTCATCGAACCAGAGTCACTCTGGATAGAACCGAGGCTGCCCTCAAAATTTGTCATTTTCTTCTTCATTAATTTCCTTTCTTTGGCTCTGCGATTCTGGAACCAGATTTTTACCTGCAAGAGCAAAGGAGAAACTTGTCCAGCAGTTCATCACAAATACAGTCTGGCGTCAGCTAAACATCGTGGAAGAGGAAAATCATAAATCTGTGCATGTCTTTTGCTACATCTTGTGGAGGGTGTTCAAGGATAGGCCGGACATGCACATGATAGGCTTGTCAAGGGCAGAGCCAGCAGGAGCCAGGGGTCAGACTAGATGGCCCAGGAGACCCCTTCTGACTCACTCTGTGTTCTGCGTTCTTTCTCTAGCTAAACGGTGGTGCTAACCAAGCCTTCACCAGAGGAAGGCAGCTGTTGTCCAGCTTCAGACAGATTGGCAGTTGGTAGAATTATGATGCCAAAACATAACAGCTGACCGTGTGTCCTCTTAGACAGAAGGCAGTCCTCCCTTTGAAAGGCTGCCCAATCAAGCCTCAGGGAAATCAGGGAGAAGGCCTTCTCCTGCCACCACAAGGCATTCACTGGGAAGCCTCTCCGGGAAGCTCATCCCATGACTGGGAGGCCACGAAAGGAAAAGAACTTTCTTCTTAGCATCCACTCAGCTCACAGCCTTTGCCGGAGGCTCCTTGGGAAGAACCCCTGAAGATGATCTTAGGGTCTGGACAGGTGTGCATGGAAGGACACGTTCCTTCATGTCACCTGGATCTCAGCTGCTCAGGGCTTTGACCGTTAGTGCCATTGCTTTGAACTGGGTCTGGAAATGGGCCAGCACCACGTTTGCCACCTTGCATACGCTAGTCCAGCTTTCTCGAGCCAGGCATCCTCCAGATGTGCTGGACTGTGGCTCGCATGATGCCCAGCCATTGGCCATGGTGGCTAGGAATTATGGGAAGTGCGGCCCAGCCATGGAGGCCTGTGTCCCTTCCAGGGCCGTGGCATCCACACCCCGTCAGCTGCCTCTCCCTCGCTGCCTCCCCTTCCTTGTTGCACTGCCTTGCCTGACAGGAAGATGTGGGGGGCTGGAAGCCCGCCACGCCGGTTTGTGTGTTTTTGCCTAATAAAGAGATTGGGCCTAATAAAGAGATTGCCTGCCTGTGGGTTCTGAATTTTCCCCTGGGGACCAGTGAAGCTAACGTGGCTTTATGCAATGGGATTTAGTAAGTTTGAAAGCAGTGGGACGGAACGCAGATGTCTCTTTCAGGACTGCTTTTTCAGACCGACTTGGCAAAGGCTTGGCAATTTGTGCTTATCATGTTGTCCTAATGAGCCTTAATGTGCCCTACATGGTCCTTCCCCTAATATTTTAGATTTGTGCTAACAACATGTCATCTGCACAGACCGCAGAATACTCTACCTGTCTCTCAGAAAGTCTTAGGTTTGCAGCGAGTTCGGACTTCCTCCGGATGGTAATGTATCTGTTGTAATGAAACTCCTTCTCCAGTTCTAATCTCTGGTGATCCGTGTAAACAACACGGTATTTCTCTCTTGTCCTTGTCTTCCCTGTTTGAAAACAGCAAACAAAACAAGGTCTGCACAAGCATTTTTCACCAGCAGGGTTGGATTCTTGAAGTGTCTCCCTTGATCAGACGCAATTGTGATCTATGCACAATTTACCAACAGATCTTGGCATGTATTAAACTCCCCTTGCCTATGTACACTAGAAACAATGTTTACTAGGGATGTGCAATGAAATATGGATTTCAGATTTAAAAAATATTGTCCTGTTCTCTCTCTCTCTCTCTCTCTCTCTCTCTCTCTCTCTCTCTTAAAACTTGCTTCTTGCTTTCCTAATTGCTTTCATAGGAATTTTAATGCCTTCATAGGAATTTTAATGCCAATGGCTTCATTGACTTGCCTTCTGGAGTAGGGAAGGAGAGCGTCTGCAGGAATCCCATCCTGCCAAGGACTGCGGGGTCTGTGACCAGAACAGGGCCTTTCTCCCACCCCAAAATGGGTAGTGATGGGGAAAAATATGCCCTCCAGGGTTTCCTAGGGCAATGAGACCCTTCCTCTGGAGGGCAGGACTCACGGACTGCAGCCTCCACTGATGTGAATGAGGTGGAGGGAGGGCTGCTTGAAGCAAACTGGGCTGAGAGAAATAAAGCCTCTCCCGCCACCCTCGCCCAGGACCTGTGCAGCCAGGAGGTCTTCTGCCACACCACCCCCCCAGCCAGGATCGGGTCTGGATGCTGCAAGTTGTGCGGCCCTGTGTGAGCAGACTGCTTTCACTTTGGAGCTCTGGCTTTCAGGGAACCACCAAGGACTGCAGTACCCCGTGAGCCTAACCTCCCGAGGCAAAAGAAGCCAGTTTTATGAGCTAAAGCATTCTCTGGTGCAAATATATTATTCCCATGTGCCAAAGCGGAGGAAGACCCGTCCGAGCGGTTGCTCGTAATCTTCGGTGGGAATGGGGTTGTTGACATGGCCTGGAGCTGCTCACCTGGCGTTTGACCCGAATTAGGGCACCGGGATTTCCTCGCAGGCTGTGACCCAGCCTGGTTTTGTGGGGGGCGGGGAGGAGAGGCCGTTTCCTCGTTGGCTATAAAGTTCACAGAGCATTTCTTCTGAACACAATAAAAGCAAAGAGGGGGCCTATTTATTTGCTGTGAAAATCGTCACCCTTTCCGGCAATATAACTGCTAAAGAAAAGGAGGAGAAGGAAGAGGCTAGGATGCATATCAAAGCGGGAAGAAGTGTTAAAAGGGCGTCTGTTGCTTGGTGGGGCAGATAGGCCTCTGAGCTGAAGACAATAGGGGCAAGCCAAGGCAGAGTGGGGCGGGGATGCCTGGACCCCACAGCTAGCTTACAAAGCAGCACGAATCAGCATTAAAGCTGCCCCTGGTCCCCTGTCTTAAGAGCCTCTCCTGTTTTACATCTCCCTTGTCAGATGAATTTGTCTATGTCTGTGAATTCGGCAGTGTGATAAGAGAGGCAGTGGCGATACCCTCCTGGGCCTGGAACAGACTCTGTTCTGATGCTGAAGCGGGAAAGCACCTTCAAAGTGGTCTCCCAATGCTGCGCCACACTGGCACAAAGCTTGTGCAGCAACACAGCTTGTTCGGTGTGTTCCTTTCTAGCTGCACGTCAGTTTAACCTTTGTCTTAAGCTCCTAGTCCTCATTGTCCAAGCCCTGTACCCTGGCCTTGGTGGTCTCCCTACCATCAGATGCTGACATCTGCCCCTACCCTACCCAGGCTGTCACATACTGTGCATGCACATGGTGTTACATAAATAAAGCAACTCTGGGGCACAATACTCAGTGATGTTCCACAGGAAGAGTCTGCGGTGAGTGTGAGCTTCTCCAGCAGGAAAATTCAGCAGGAAATGGCAGGGCGAGAGGGGCGCAGAAGGCCAGGGTCATTGCCGGGCTAGTTTGCAGTGGGCGTAATCATTTTGTGTCTAGACCAGGGCTGGGCGACATTTGGTCCTCCAGACATTTTGGCTTAATAGCGCCACGGTCCCTCACGTGGGCTCGGCTCCCTTGGGCTGATGTGTGTTGAGAGGCAAAGCGTCTGGATGGCCATAAGCTGCTGCCCTTCATCGCAACCGTCTCCGAGATCCAACAACCACCTTGTTCCCGTCCAACAGGCTTTGTAGCAGCCCTCCTAAATCTGATGCATGGAAGATGGGTTGGACCACAGCCAGCATGCCTATCAGCTGAGGATGATGGGAGTTATAATCCAACACATCTTAGGGCACAGGCTGTAGAGGGTTTCAGTACAGGTTTCCCCCTAACTGCTTCTAAGCATTGGAGAAGGCCATCGTGATGTCCTTGAAGCAACACACCTGCTTCCGCATGCATGTTTAGTAAACACCTAGAAATCTTGATCTCATGCCAGAAATGCAGGACACTGGCTTATACTGAGTGCCCCATCGATCCACCACTGACTGGCAGTTGCTCCCCAGGTTTCAGGACAGGTCTGTTCTTCATGCTGGCCGTGGATGCTGGGAAATGAATCTGGGAGACCTTGCTTTGAAGCAGGGTCTCCTCCACAGAGCTACGGCCACCCCCCAAGTTGCAGGCTGCCATGCCTGTCCCTTTTCACCCAGCATGCACAGGGGCACCTGTGCCGTGATTGTGTTGCACAAGCTAGTAAGCACTGCCGGACATGCCTGGAGGTGTGAGTGGGAAGCCTTCGTTCCAACATGCCGGAATCCTCTCTCAGCCCTAGACTGGCGCTTCTGTCCCGGTTTCCTCCCACTCCCCTCACTGGCAATGTCCCATGAAGACGGGAGGTGCTGCTCCCCTTCAGCCCACCCCCGACTCAGATTCACATTCCAGGAAAGTGGATGAAGAATCGGTTTCATGGTTACATGCTTTATGATGTGTTTGCAGCCCTGAGATGAGGAACAGTTAGATTTCCTCACATGTGCCTTGGCTGGTAACAGTAGGAATAAAATGACAGGCTCATATCATTTTAGCAGAAACACAACTGACCCAATATTTACTCTGGATGGGTTTTGAACTCTGTGGTTATGCCAATCCAGAGTTTAGACTGATTAACTCAGAAGCAGAATGCTATGTTATCACTTCTCAACACCAACCCAGGTCAATTAGGAAGCCCTGGAAGGAAGCACATGGGTTGTAATTTGGAAAGGTGGACTGGCTGCACATGCCAGTGGTAACGACCTGGGTGCAAATGAGAACAATTTGGGTTATGGTCCCTGTCAAATCTGAGGTGGACGAGAGAATATAAAAACAATTGAAGGAACACCAGAGCTACCACGGGGGCAGCAGAGTGAGGGTGTTCGAAGGCAAGGGAAAGTAAAGGGAGGAAAAAAGAAAGGGGGAACTTTCTTTCAAGTCTGTTTCTCACTTCTGCTTCTGCACTGCTGTCACTGCGGGCTGAATACGATCACACGCATTTGTGTTCCCACTGCTCTGCTGCGGCAAATTCTTGCCGTTCATGTCTCCAGACTGTCATCTGCACATGCTCTTGTGACAAAGGCAGTGGAGGAAACCGTGGCCATGCACTATGCGAAACAGTCGGGAGACTGCAAGCCTGGCTGAGGAGGGGGCAAAGTCAGAAAGTCATGAAGGGAGCTGTGGATTTGATGGGAGGGGACCTATCTAGAGCGGGGAAAGTGGGCTTGGGGGTTAAGGGGGAAACCAGTACAAATGACTGCTTCAATGACATGAAATTCTGAGCACATATTTCTGAGACATAAGCTTTACTTCTATAATTTAAAGCTTTTATAGCAGAGCTTTTATGGTTTTAATTGCTGTGAACCAGTCAGGGAGCTTCAGTTTTGGGAAGTGTAGACATGCAAATGAATGAATAAATATGAACTTTGACCAACTGTACCCTTAAAGCCAAGCATTTCATTGCAACCCTTTTAGTAAACAGGTTGGAGTATGAATATCCCAGAGATTCTACCAGAAAGAGATAAAGGGGGAAAGGCATATTGCTCTGACAACATGACTCTGCCTAAAAGACTTTAAAGATGGCTTAAGCTTGCAGGCAGTTTACCAAAAAAAGCCCATTTCCATCTTTTGGCCTGTGTCTCACACACTCTTCCTCAATCTGTGTCCTCAGACATGTTGGGCTCCTAGCTGGGGACTAGCGGTACCTCTGGATGCTGCCAGGCTGGGGGAGGTTTTCCCAGCATAACCAAATAACAGAACCAAGCACAGGCTTGACTGTGGATCGAGAGCGGCTTGACTACAAACTTTCTGATTCTGCTAGGATGAGAAAATAAAATTGGTCATCATGTGCTGGCATCTTCTTGAAGGAGAAACATGTGTACCTCGGAAAGCATGAGATGGACTTGTAGAAGTTCATTCGATGAAGGACAGGTGGTCCTTTGTCCGGTGCACTTCTTCGCTTGGCAAGCACCACAACATTGAGCAGCCAGATGCTTCCATGAAGAAATGGAGTTGTGAATCTTGGGTAGCTTAAGTACCTTTTGTGGTTGTTTTTGCAACAACGGGCTAGCCCTGCTACTCCTGCAGATGAAGGCAGGTGGTTCTCCAAGATATAAGGTATGAACCTGGAAGCTTTTAGCTTCCTGCACTGGGGTTCCTGCCCCACTGAAACTCCCAAAAGTCCCCCTACTCTTGCGTGGTGTGATCTTCAAACTGCCTTGTCATGAGTTTCCACACATTTAAGCTACAGAAGTGTCACAGTCAGAAGGCAATCAGATGGACCTGCTGAAGTGGATTCTAGAGTTGGTCTTTAACATGCCCTTTGCTCTGTGGTGTTTCTGACAGTCGTAAGGAATGTGGTGTGCCTGAACAGTTTTTCAAAAGCTGGTGCTCCCTGAAAGAAAAGGTCATGCCGGCTCAAACATCCAGAGCTCTGGGCTTTTCTCGGCCGTACTGCTAAGCTCACCTCCCAGGCAGGGCTTAGCCCTGGGCAGAGTTAGGCTTCTGAAAGGGACTGCCAGCCATTCGGGCTGTGGATCAAAGTATCCTTCTCTGCTCTGGCAGAAGCACGGCTGGCATTGAAAGGGGGTGGAATGGAAAGACAGGCCTGGCCTGCACAGACCACCAAACGGTGGAAGCACAGAGCCTCTTCGGACTGCTGGTGTGGGACCACATGGCTGAATCTTTCCTGAGTTACAACACAAGTGCACACACTTGCTAAAAAGAGAACAGGAGGCAAATGAAGGGGCCAATTAAATAAGGGAGCATTCAAACTTGCTGTCTCCCACCTGTGCATTCTTTCACGGACTCCGATAAACTACCTTTCTGCTGCATGTGGAGAAGAGACTCAGGTGAGAAAGTGGTGAAGTATCACATGTATTCTAGGCAATTTGGGTCCATCTCCCATGATGCTGCTTTCGGATTGTCCCACAATCATTGCTCCATATCCTGTGCCATCCCCTGATCTTCTTGGGACTATTTCCGAATGGTTCTGGCAAAGAACATGGTGCATGAGATAGAACTGGCGTTTGTCACTGGAGGCCTCTGGGCCAACTCACAACCAGCCCAAGGATGAGAGGGAGGGACGGAGGGATGGGGAGGGGGAGGGGGAGGGAGAGGGGGAGACTGATGCTTGGCTCTTGCATTATCAACCCTGAAGGAAAGAGTCCAATCATTGTATGGATGGAATTAAACTTGCCAGCGATCTTGATTTCGGGTAGGGTCGTGGTCCTCCAGGAAAAACATTTACTGATCAGGTAGGCAGTACATTGTGGGTTTGGATAAGAGAAGAACAGGTTCAAGTCTCTCAGTCACCAGGTTCACTCAGTGCCCTTGGCTGGCCCACATCCATCACTCCAAGTGATTCCCAACCATTCTACCTTGAGGACACTCGCCCCAAGCTGCGATAGCGTCACCTCAGCCACCGTAGGCTCAGGATGGTTTACAACTGCAGTCAGAAACAAATCTGCAGTTTCCCCGTTCTGACACAGGTGCCACTTGATCAGCGGGTTTAACTGATGCTGGAAGTGCGCCAGCAAGACATGGAAGAGAAAGAGGTGCACATGCACAAGGTTGGTTTCCCCTCTGGTGTGCCATGGGGCCACGGTTTGTGGGACTGAGATCATTGCATCTGAATGCACCAGTGAGTGCGCCATCAACCACCCACTTCCAGAACCACCATTTTCCAACTGGCTGATTTATCTGGGGTTCTGGTGGAAACCAAGGTAGGTCTCGCATATGCCACAAGTGATCTTGACCCAGCCCTGTCCTCCGCTCGGCCCGTCACGAACAGACCGTGCCATAAAACACACCCGGAACTGCCGCAGGGGAAGACCTGTAGTGACTTGGCCTGGAAAGGAGGGACCAATAGCTCAGCACGATGGAAAAAGTGGGCGGGTTTTGGAATCCTGCAAAACAAATACTGACAATCGGTGCTGGATGCTTTCTGAGCTTCAGTTATTTGCAGCACGAATCATTTGTGCTTAATGACAGATGTGCTCTGTGAGCAGGTAACCTCTGAAAGGGGGTGCTCAATGCTGGGCAAGCTGCATTCAGTACAAAGTACCCTGCAATACGGTTTGGAAGCTTTTAATGTCTCTCATTCCACAGTGAAGCAGCTGGCACTGAGAGGACTAAATAAACCATAAAAAGCGACTGAAAGACTAGGAGAAATGTGGCCATCTGCTCTGTCAAGTAGCGAATATTTTTGCAGCAGTACAGATCCCCAAGTGCAAGGTATTTGTGACACCGTATTGCATCAGATGGTTTTTGCCATATTTGGACGTTCTGCCTTTAAGTCGCAGTACAGCCCTTTGCAATCTTGCACACCGTTCTGGCCACTCCATCTCCAGAAGGATGTTAGACAGTAGGAGACGGTGCAGAGATGAGCAACAAAACCTTCCTTAGAAGAAATATTTAAGGATCTGGGGTCTTCTCTAGTCTGCAAACTGGGAAAAAAAGCCTCGAAAGGGGTAGGACTTCACAGAGGTCTGTAAAATGGACCAAGAGTGATCGTTTTTCTCACTTGCTAGTGAATCTTAGGACCTGAGGGAGCTCCTTTGAATGTCATTGATTGACAGTTAGGTTCAGGATGGACAAAATCAAACATTCCTTTGTACAACAGAGTCCTAATTTTGGACATCATTACTGCAAGAGGCTGTCATTTCGGATAGCTTTTCAAAAGCAATAAAGCGTTGTGCAGAGCAGGGTTTATTAATAGATCTTAACCGCAACGAACCAAATGGAGCCTCCATAATTAAAGGCAGTGGAGCTCTGACGGTCTTGGGTAAACATCTGAGTAGAGTGTGATTCCTCAGGCATTGCTGGCCGTGGCTGAAAACAGAACACCGGTCAATGCAGACGGTTGGCCCCATTCAGCGGGCAAAGCCATTTGCACAGTCTGGCTGGCCGCCAAAGGATTTCATGCTGCTCCGTGGAAGCGCGTGCGGAACTGTGTGGGAATCTAACGGGGTGCCAGAAGTCCCTTGGTCTGAAATGTGAGTCAGAAAGTGCTCTGCGTGACTTCATCTGCAGCCCTATATCACTCTCGCGTACGTTCTCTAGCATTTCATGGGAGAAAAGCATCGCCTATGTCCACCTACAGTTGAATGCTTTATACTCTGCTTGATACTGTGTAAATGTGTGGTACAGAAGCTGTGCTACACGGCTACAGAAGGTGTATGCGGTTCTTCTTTCGGTTAAATGTGCTGGGCTAACAAATGTGCTAGCCACGCTCGAGAAGGTGCCTCAGAATACATCTGCTTGCATCCAGTGTGGCTTGGTCTCTGCTAAGCATGTTTCGAACTGCCATCTAAGAGTTTCTGAACTGTGACTTCCAGTGAAGGAAAGCATACAGAAACCTAAGAATGACAACCCCACTTACTGTAACAAACAGCATTTTGAAAAGGCATTTGTAAAATCACTCCAAAATATGCCAGTGATTCAAAAGGGATAGGAATCCAAAAGTGGAGATTGGCTCAATCAGTCTCTTTCACAGACACACACACACAGAACAGAACAGGGAGAGGGTTTCTGCAAAACTTCCTTTGGTAATTTATAACAATACGAGCCATTGGATTGTCTCCTTTATATCTGTGAACTTAAAAGGCTTGGTGGGAAGAAGATATAGTATCACAATTTTGCTCTTGGTATTAATTGCATGAATCAGTCCTTTCTGATCTGAAGTTAATCAGTAAGCAGGAATATCTTTATAAGATTATTTTTAGAGCTACAGATTTAGATGAAAGCCAAATGAACCTTCAGCTCTGTAGCACTTTCCCTTCGCTTTCTCAACCGCCCCATTCTTTAAAAGGGTTGCTTGCAGAGCAGTGCCCAGCTCATCTGCCGTCCTTTCATCACAGTGAAAGGTCATACTATTTTGTAAGAGCCTCACTCCGCTCATGCCATCTTTAGCGGCTGCTTAGAATCCAGTAGATCACATGCCTCTTTTCATGCAGCTCCTTGCAAATCAGCATTTTCCAATCATTTTACTCCTCGCCTAGACTACCATGATGACATATTTAGGATCTAACCATCATGACCACTCCTCTAATTTGACCATCATCAAACAGAGTGTTTTCCTGGAATTCGAAGCTGCATTTTATAAATGGCATGCCCTTCGCCTCCCCTTTCCCCGTTTTTGCTATTACAACCGCAGGAGAGATCAAACTTGTTAGTGTAACTGGTTGTGTGTGTTAAATTCCTGCATTTTCTGAGGGCGTCAAGCATTTTAAAGTGAGGAAGACCCTTTCACCCAATGTTGCCATTTGAAGTGTTAATGTGAGCAACCTATAATTGCAGGCATAATCAGGGGCTATGACTACAGACCTGCCTCTCTTTGCTCACACAGGCCTCTGAAGCTAGGAAGCATTCTCCTTAAAAACCATTTTTTTGGGGGGGGGAGGTATATAAACTAGTAAAATGTGAGAAATTTGGTTTACATCACAAACGTATTAGCATTAAATAGGTTAAACCCACACTTACTCATAGGTAGAGTAGACCCATTAAAGTTAACAGGACTCAGGTAGCAGTAATTTCAGTGAGATTACTCTAAGTGTGAGTAAGTCTTGAGCCAACCCGCTATTAGGAAATAGCAAATTTAGGACTGCAGTGCTGCGTACATTTACACAGGAAAAAGCCTGACTCAATTCTGTGCCGCTTCCAGCAAACACAGATCCAATTAAACTAGCATTAGATTGCGGGGGCTTTTCATGTATCAGTTAAGAGCCTCTCTTAACTCCCCCTTCCTGCAAGAAACTCTTGCTTCTGTGTATAAAATGTGGTACTCTGTAATTTGTTCTTCTACTGATGTCAGAAGGACAATAAATCAAAGTCATTGTTCAAAACTAAGTCAGGAGATGCAGGAGCAATCTGAGAGAGCTCTTTTTCATTTAGGGAAGAGTATTCCATTTTCTTTGGGCCAAATGGTACAGAACAATATTAGAAATTCCAGAGTAGCAGCTTAGTTCTTGCCACATACCTGTTGAAGTGGATTGGACTGTTTTCCTCATCCATTCATAAGAGCTTTGTCTTTGACTGTGGGGAGAGATTTGCTCTGTATTAATTGTATCTATGGGGGGTAAAGCCCCCGATCCAGCGGGATTCAGGGTGTTGTAATCGGCAGATCCATAGGAAACATGCTCAGGAGGTGATCCGTTCATTTGCGTGGGGGCCACTGCACTGGAAGGTCCTGGGCCGTAGGTATTCCAGTCCTCCCTTTGCAGGCCGTAGTGAGCGCCCCAGGCCCCTGATGCTTGTCCGCGGTTCTCCATGCTTTGCATAGGGTGGTATCCCATGTAATCTGTGTAGGGTGCCGTGGAGGCAAAGTTTTGTGCTGGCAGGTTGCTGCTGCTGCTGCTGCTGCTGCTGCACCTTACGGATCCGGGATACATGCTGGCTTCTTTTTCCAAAAGATAACTCACATACATGATGCTCATCCCCGGGCTTTGTCCTGCCAGGGCATCCTGCTCCACTCGTTTGATCTGGCACCCCCTCCTCTTCCTCTCACTCTCTCTTTCCTAGCCCCAACTGGCTCTGTGAATGACTCATGCTGGTCCTGAGGTCTCTATACGGCACATGATTAACAACCGTATCCCCAGGTGCTGGGGGTCACAGCTACCAGGTTCTGCCTGATGTCACAGATAACTGGCTCTTCCCAAGCAACATTTGCATTCAAATGAAGGGCTGGCCCTCCCAGGGACCCCACCTTGCTGCCCAGCTGGGGTGTCTCCTTTCTCACAGACCCTTTGCATGTCCTGGCCCTGCCCTTTCTCCAAGCCCCGGAGAGACTGGCCTGGCGGTGCATCCCGTGCATTAGCTTAAATAACTAGGTGGCACCAGGGCAGCAGTGGTATTCATCCAACGGCCACAGCGATGGTGAGGGTGAAATGCTCATGCAGCCCACGGAGCGGACTCTAACCCACAAACGCGTGTGCCAGGACCCGTCTGGGTCCTTCGGGCTCCTTGTTGCTTTGGCTGCGGCAAGATCTAACACAGCTCATCCTCGGGAAAGGATTTTTCCGCTGCAAGCAAGAGGAACAAAATGTGTTGCAGCAACTTAATGAACGATTTTATTTCACTGTTTCAATTTTATTGTGGCCAAAGCTGCCCAGCTCATCCGAGGCATGGGACAAAGCGGGTTTTCATCCATGGAGGCTGATCTCCGGATAAAATGGTTAGAATATAAGGTGCTCCCACCATGACTTGCATTGCTGCATCTGTGAAAATGATGGTTGCATTCCAGAAAAGTCTCCAGGCAGGAGCCTGAATAAGGCCGTTCTCTTTGGTAAACTCAGGTTTTTGCCAAATGTTCACACACATTTGCTTAAAAAAGCTTGCCTTCTCTGCTCAGGTAGAAGGAAATTTCATATTTAAAATATTTTCTCCCTGAATATTAAAGTCTCCATGATTTGATCCTGGAAACCAGTTGCTCATACAAATAACTTGACTATCACAGGGAAGGCTTTTTGTATAAAGAGCTGCACTGAAATCCATGCTTACTTTTCTCTTTTTGAGCAATCCCAGTGGCTTAACCTCATGGGTACTGCTTGAGTGAGTGAGTGAGTGAGTGAGTGAGTGAGTGAGTGAGAGAGAGAGAGAGAGAGAGAGAGAGAGAGAGAGAGAGAGAGAGAGATGCTCAGCAAAATAGACACTCTTAGAATATTCCATATTAAACTGAGAAAGACACAGCAACTATGCAGCCTGATATTTTAATTCATGCTCAGTAAGTTTATGCTGCTTTTAAACCCCCAAGGTGCTCCCCGACCTATCAAAAAGAAGCATTCCTCGTGGTTACTTGTTTCATCTCTAGTGGCTATTCTGCTTGTAGGTTATTGTTTGCACCCTGCTTTCTGATCACTAGAGGGCAATGGCCCACCCCTGGTGGAGACCTCCCCCACTGGAGTCCCTGGCGATTCCAAAGCCGTGCCAGTGCAAGCACAGCTGCATGTCATGGGTTTCGGGGCTCATTGACACTTTACTTTGAGAATTCCCTCTTACTGAAACCAGTGAGAGCGAACTGATCTACACCAGCTATAGGGCTGGTGTTGGCCTGGAGTTGGGGTCTGTGTGTGTGTGAGAGAGAGACACACAGAGAGAGAAAGAAAGAGAGAGCATTCTCAGCTTTTCAGGCAGAAAAGTTTCCCTGGATACCTTGCAAAGATGAATATGTATTTGTTGATTAAAAGCTTTCCTAGGCCATCCACTGCAATCAGATGGTGGAGTTCTGAGGTTAGAGGAGCAGCTGCGAGTGGAGATCCAATGGAACATGGAGGCCGCCTTGGAGCAGAAGATGATCAGAAGATCATGAGAAGATCGACAGTATTAGAAGATGGCAGCCAAGGGAGTGAAAAGTTGAACCAAACCCAGGAATATCAGGGACACGGCACAGTATTTCCAGGTCGACAATGCCAAACGCAGCAGAGAACAGTGAACAGGCGGCGGCTTTCACACGTCTGCCGGAAATACCCCTGTTTTCACACGGCAATCGAGGGCTGAAGTGACGTGGACAAACAAGTCCCTTAGAGGAGGGAACTCAAGAACCTAGGCTGGGAGAAGGAAAATATGGAGGAGGGCAAGCGATGTCTCCACAGTCCTGGGGCACAGCTTAAGCTGCATGTCTGCAAACCCCTTCCACGCTTCAGCTTAAGACTCTGCCCAAGTCCTCTTCACGACTCCAGCCTCCCCCTGCCACTTCTGGGTTGGAACATCTTGCTTGACAAAGAGATCTGGAGATCTCGAGGGCTTGCCCAGTTTTTGACTTCATTTTGGCTGAAAGGCACTACCCTACTTAGTTCTGGAATTTTTCTTATGGCCAATGTGGCTACACGTGCTTTTTATTTTTAATGTTAGCAACACACTAAAAGTGATAAGGATGCAGAGAAGAAATTAGGTGATAGATCTATTGAGTGCCAACTGTTTTCACACTGTTTCTTGATGCGCAAGCAACACAGCAGGGAGACTTGTGAAAAAATACAGATGCTTCATGATGTGGTCCTTAATTGCACCTTTATGAACGAGCTGACACATTAGAGGGAAATCTCTGTTAAACAGGTGCAAAGTAGCAGACCCTTGGCTGGATACTGTGTTTTCTTTAAGTACACCAGCCTAAGTACACCCATCCCTGCAATCAAAGCAAGTTAGATATTTGTCTTCTGAAGTAGGGTTAAACTTGTCAGTTGAAGAAACAAGATGATGTCTGAATAATGTTCCATCACAGGATAAACGGCATGCTAACCATTTCATCAAGATGCATTTAGGGATTTTTTTCCAATTTGATTTGCAGGTTCCGAGGATGGACTCGGGAAGACAAAAAACCCTTTTATTTTCCAGTCCTGCCTGGGCCAGTCGTCTTTGCCAAACTGCCATCGTTGCCCGTCCCAGAACCCATGGCTTGTTCTAGGGCTGTAGGCTCGTTCATCAACTGCCACCACTCCCCACTCTTGCCAGGTTCAGATGACAGGACGAAGTGTGCACAGGGAGGAGAATCTGGGAAATTTGGTTGTATAAAACCAGCAGGCGCTGAGCAGGAGGTGTGGCTTATCTCCTTCTACGGTTGTGTGAACCTGCCCACCGAGTTGCCACTTGAATCTCTCTCATGCTGCTTCGTGGAGTCTGCTATCCAGTAGGTGGGACTTGTGAGTTGTACCCAGGCATAATAAAGCAGCTGCTTATTCTAAGTGACACCCTCTGCAAGCGTTTGGTCTGGACAGGGCACAAGGACATGCTAGACTTGCTCCCGTGTCACCCATTAAGCATTTTTCTTTTTTGGAAGCATGTTAGTGCAATTCTGGTCAAACAGAGTTGTGCAAGCAATGTACAGATCCCCATCTGCCTGGATATACAAAGGCAGTAAACACATCCGTTCCCCATCCACAATGTTCTCACAAATGGATGACTTTAGGCTGTGTGGACTGGAATATGCGCCCCCGTCTTAGAACCTTACCCCCATTTTCAGCCCATTGAACATAATTTTAAGGTCTGTTTCACACACAGTTCTGGAGGTTCTCACCTTTCCTTGGAACCATTTAATCCTTCCTTGCTTTTCTAAACCCACCCTAATTTGCTTTCCTTTCTGCCTGCCCAGCAACTAATTTGTTTAGGAAAGCTCTCTTGAAAACCACACAGCAACTCTTGCCCTTCCTCCCAGACAGATGTGGCCATAAATCAGGAAGGAAGAAGCAGTAATTGCTGAAGACCTATTTTTACTGTAGCATCAGCTTCAGCCCTCCAGCTAAATGCAGACGGAGGCTGCTGGCTTTCGTGAGGTTTATTTCTTTCTTCTTCCCCACCCTGAAGTCAAGTACAAAATGCCTCCCAAGTCTCACATATTCAACTGGACTCTGCTTGCCAGGCTCTCATTTTGGAGTTGCAACCCTGCAGAAATATCAGGTTCATAGTATGGGAGTACTGTGAACATCGTCTCTGCCGCTGGAGTCTCCAGAAGCAGCTTGGAATGGCTTCTCTCAGTTTTGACTACAGGCTTGCTGCCAGGTACTGAAAAGATCCAGAACTTCAGGACAAGCAAAATGCACAAAATGGCACATGCTAATTTACAAATGCTCCTGAGTGGGCATGATTCCCAAGGGTCCTGTGTCTTTAAAGGACTTTGTCTTCTAAGGTTTAATTTTAAGGAACCTTAAGGGATAGCAGCACCCTTGAAGTCGTGCATGCACAGTTAATTCCTGGTTGCAGACCAAGCCAGATGAAACATACTGGATTGGAATTTAAAGTGCACTAACTGCTCCCAGATTTGCAGGTATACCAATGCATTACTCTGTGCAGAGTTCATGAAAATCAGCGTCCTCTCTTTTTCTGAGGATGCGCCTGTTCTTTGTAGCTGTGAGGTTCTGCGGCAGCACCAGGTCTCCCTCTTCTGGCCAGAGACCAGAATAGCAGCCCTGGTGGTTGCAGGAGTGATCCACAGTCAATCACAGCGACCTGGGTTGTTATGAGCACCACCTGGGAGGCCGAGGGAGGAGCTACAGAAGAACTGGCTCTTCACTTCAGATGCTGCCTCAGTAAGGAGAGACTTCGGTGTTCCCCGTGCCTCCTTGAGCCTGTCTCTGGAAACTGCCCATTGCCTTGCTCCTGCCTCTGCTCCTGGACTGTGCCCAGCGCTACCTGCTCTGCCATCTGCTCCAGTTCCAGGTATCTGCTTCTCCTTGGCTTCTCTCTCTGGCTTTTGACTCCTGACTGGCACTGACTGCTCTTCTGTATCCAGATTGACTCACCTCGCACTTCTGTTACCTGCCTTAACCTCTGGACTGCCTGGCTCCAATTTGGGCCTGTGTATCGCACTGGTTGTCCGGGTTCTGGTGCCCCAACCCGATTTCCAGCTATCCATGCCCCGTACGCTAACAACAGCACTTAAGTGGATGTCCTGTTTCTAAAGGCAAGTCTTTTTGTTGCTCAAATGCCCACTTGCAAT